TTAGGGTTTAGGGTTTAGGATGTGTCTTGCAGGAGAGTTCCACATGGCATAATCCAGAGAGCGCAATACCCCTTAATTCAGGAATAGACCTTAAATTATAGTAGGATCCTTAATATGATTTAAGGTCTATTCCTTACTTAAGGGATATTGATGGGTTCTCTGGGTAACTACCCTAAACCCTAAACCCTAAACCCTAAACCCTAAAACCTACACCGTCTTGCGTGAGGAATCAGCTCACTGAAACCGGTGACCTGTTGTATTTCCAGCCCTGGCCTCGGTCCAAAGAACGGGGAGGATGCGAGAGCTCAGAAGTGCATCTCTGTGGAGGGTTTAGGGTTTAGGGTTTAGGTTTAGGGTTTAGGGTTTAGGGTTTAGGGTTTAGATTCATCTGGGGGTTTCCGAGAATAGGGGACCCTAATAATATAGTACCCTAAATCATCGGATCCTTACTATAAGGACCCCAGAATAAGGTACCCTAATTTTCGGAAACTCCCACCTCTGTGGAGGGATCTGTTCGGCGCACGCACCAAGATTCTGCATCAGGAAAAGTTTCACTAACGATCAGCACAAAGACCATGACACGGAGGCACGGGTCAGCTGTCGGTCGGGCGCGAGCATGCGGTAGTGTGTGTGTGTGTGTGTGTGTGTGCGTTCCAGGATTGCACGCCCGTGGCGAAGCGCCAATTGGATCTGTCGGAATCCTGACAAAGCTTCGGCTGCAACTTGATTCGTATCCGTGCCTCCAGACTTAGGCCCATGGTCCTCGAGTGCACGGCCTCAGATTCATGTACGGCAGGCTCTCGCAACATGCCCTCCTCGTTCAGCAAGAAGCACCAGTAAACTCATCGTAAGTACAGGATCTACTTGGACCTAGCAGGAAGACTGCAGAGGGTCCGTGCGGCGACGCCTAAGAGTGCGTTTGTGCACTTCATGTCTCGCATGACCCAAGGGTGACGGTCTCTGACGAAGATGGCGACGAGTACAGGCTTCCTGGCCAAGCTTGTGCTTGTCATCACCCTTTTTTTCAAAAGAAGGAGAGAAGTGCTCTTAGGCTTGTCGTCGCCGAGCTCATGAAGGGGAGGCAGGGTCAGTCGCTGTTCGGCACTCGCAGGTTTTTTGCTGTAAGAATACGGGGATGTGCTGTGCCTGGGCTGCCTGGACCTTTCGAAAGCTTTCCGCTCAGCCGGAGGACCACGAACTGGTCCCGAGCCCGGCGAGCTGCCAAGAGGCTGCTTGCCCAGCAACCCAGCACTGGGCCTACCCACTTCACTTCTGGAAAAGCAGCCAATGGTCACAACGCGAACCGTGTCTAGGAGTGATACACACAATAAGTTGTGCTGCTCGTCATAGCAGTGCATTCTTTCATTTTGGCAGAATACTATTAAAGATACAAAAAAATCTGGCCCTGCGGAGTTGTTTGAGTTTTAAGATATGGGTAGTTGTCAAAATTATGGTCCCTTTTGGGGTACCCTAAATATTAGGTGCCGTATCATTATAAGGACCCCAAAAAGGGATCCTAATTTTGACAACCACCCATATATAAGATATCCGGGTAAGATCAGATCCTCTTTGAATCTCCAGGATGCTGGATCCAACATACGGCCTCAAGAGCCTGGGCCTTGGACAACCGGGTTTAGGGTTTGGGGTTTAGGGTTCAGGGACTAGGGATTAGGGTTTAGGGTTTAGGGAGTCCTTGTGTTCTTCTGTTTTTTTATGTCGTGCAGCAGTAAGAGCAACAGTAAGAGCCCTAGACTGTAACCCCTGACCCCTGGACCCACCTAAAGAACTTCAACCCCGATCCGGTCGTTCTTATAAGCCCCAATGCCCAAGAGTAGACCATCAAGCCATACCTGGGGATCCAAAAACCTATCGTTTTGAGGCTTCTACCCTCTATTTAAGGGGTCATAACCTACTATTTTGTAGGGTTTGGGGCCTGCACCCTAAAGATCCTGCCTTTTTAGGGCTCCTTAATTTGAATCCCCTATATAAGTCCATCAAGAGGGTAGGTTACTTGGGGTTAAGGTAAATTTAAGGGGTCATAACCTACTATTTTGTAGGGTTTGGGGTCCCAGCCCTAGAAGCCCCAAAGCCCCCAAACCCCCCCCGAAGCCCCCAAGCCGCCAAGCCCCCAAGCCCCCCAAGCCCCAAGCCCCAAGCCCCAAGTAAAGTTTCAGATCCAGAGTCATCCGTAAAGCCCAGGCTTCTACGACGACTGCTTGGCATCCTTTCCCGAGCTGCTGCTTTACGGGGTGCGGCGCTAAGCCGGGACAGCTGGGAACTTGGGGTTTGTTGGACGGTTTGGGGTTTAGGGTTCAGGGTTTAGGGTTCAGGGTTCAGGGGTTCGTTGGTTTGTGGCTTAAGGCTTAAGGGCCTGAGAGTGCCGAGGGTGAAGACGTCTTTTGAGCGGCAGGCAGACGACGGGGGTCTGGTTAGCAGTGGCCGAAGCTCCATGGAGGAGTACCAGCGCACGGCTCCAGCCTCGGGAAGACGTTGCCAGTCATGCAGGGCAGCATGTAGCGATGCAATGCAATGCACTGCGCTGCAATGCAATGTAGAGCATCCAGTTTGTGTGAGATACTTGGAGGATCATGGGACTTAATAAGTAGGGTTATAACTAAGGTAACTATACTTATAACCCCAATTAGGGGACTTATAATCATACTTACTAAGTCCCATGATCCTCCAAGTACGGTCTCTCAGATGGGTGCACTCTTTGCGGTCTTCTGGTTCATGCGGCGGAAGATGGGTGGTGCCGAGTCGCCGCGTCCTCGGGATGCAGTTCCCACACAGGACAGGAAGATACGCCTAAACCCTAAACCCTAAACCCTAAACCCTAAACCCTAAACCCTAAACCCTAAACCGAATCCAAACTGTGTCATCGTTGGCACTACTCATGACCATGGCTTCGAACTTCGAAGCTTGGCCGGGCGCATCCCTGCACCCCGAACCTTCGTTGTGGTGTGCCTCTCTGAAAGGGCGTTTGCGCTTTAATGCGATGGCAGAGGCGAGTATGCAGCGCTGGATCCTGCCATCCTGTGGTTGTTGAATAGTCCGCGTTCTCAAGGTTCTGCTTCGGCGTGGATGATGAGTGGGAGCCACTGCCTGTTACACAGCTTCTGAAGTCAAGAGAAAGCGCGCCGGAGATTGTGCTGGACCGTCGTGCGCACTTTACCCCATTTCTCTTGTGCTCATCGTTGCTCATCCGAATGCACAGCAACTCCGAGGAATGCTCGGTCCAAGCAACCTCGACGCAAGAAGGAGGAGATCGCGAAAAGGCAGCACACTTGCGTCATTCTAGCGAGCCTACCTGAAGTGTGCTTGTGCTATTTCAGCAATGCCCCAGAATTTACAGCCACGCATGCGCATGTGGTGTAGTGCCTGAGCAGGCAGACTTTCTTCAACGAGGCACGGCACCGTTGCAACGAGGGGAGGAGATGCTGGCATTCTTTGAGATGCTCGCGCAGGTTGAGTGGGAGAGGATAGACGAGCTCTTGTGCGGATGCACAGTTTGAGGAATGTGGTGTGGGCAGAGATGGCATCAGATCTATCCTACCCGACCAGTGGCCGGCATGGGCAAGAGAACCGAGGCACGACGCCGGTCTTTTGTGCGATGGTGTGGAAGGATCGCGCCTCAGACCTTGTGGAGAGATATCCTGATCCGTCGGACTTGAACAGGTAGCACTCGAGTGAATGAAGGCAGCCAGTTGGCGCGAGTGGTTCAGGTCATGACGAGGAGCGCGTCCTCGCAATGCTAGTGGGCTGCTCATGCAGCAGCGCAACCTCGTCTAGACTTGACTTTCAGACCTTGGGACAGCCCCCGAAAGTGTGTGGACATTGTCGACTTCCTGCATTGGACGTCTGAAGGCTTTTCTCAAGACTTTGGATATTTCTACCAAGGTGTTGACAGCCATCCACGACATCATGAAGCTCGTGCTCCTGACATGTTGGCATCTGCTGGGCTTTGCTCGTGGACTCAGCAAAAGTTTGTTGCAGGTCGACGGCCGGGCTAGCATGGGCTTGTTTCATTGGTCGAGTTGTGAAGACGCCACTAGCTTGGGTCTTTAGAACTTTAGCGCCAACTGTCAACCCTAAACCCTAAACCCTAAACCCAACTGTCAAAAGCAAGAAGCCTGCCATCTGCTCTTGCACTTGAAGGTGCCGTTGTTGCCGACGGTGGCGCCGGACCATGCGCCCTACCGCGGCTACAAGGCCTCATAAATACATGTCAACACGAGGGTTTAGGGGTTTAGGGTTTCAGGGTTTAGGGGTTTATAGGGTTTAGGGTTTTAGGGGTTAGGGGTTATAGGGTTTAGGGTTTTAGGGTTTAGGGGTTTAGGTTTTAGGGGTTCAGGGTTTAGGGTTTATAGGGTTTAGGGAACCGGCTGCCCAGCTCCGTTCAGACTTCGCAGCCCAGATGCTGACATGGAAACGGCGTGAGGTGGGTGAGACGATTCATGACCACGACATTGCGCTCAGCTGAAGGCTTAGACTGTCAGAGGCTCTTGAGAAAGACCTCTTGTGCATAGAGTCTATGAGTGCCTTATCGGGCTTGTCAAGCTCAGGCTATGTCTTGGACCATTACTCCTATGCCTTGCCTTCCTATCACGAGCTGTCGAAGAAACAGCAGGCGCTTGTCGGAAATGTTCGATCTGGTTGTCTTCGAGGATCGTCGTTTTGGGTTCTGAGGACTCCATCCGTTTCACCCAATGCAAGATGGAGTACAACATGGGCTGGCTGGTTCAGGCCGAGGGCATGGGGGCACCCTTTGCATCGCTTTGCATCGCTTTGAGACCCACGACCCTGTGGCTGTGCAAGATGGAAGCATAGTTCGTTGTTTGGGCTCCACCGTCCAGGAAGGCGCCGCACCGGCCGCAATTTGCAAAGACTCTGTGATACGATTGAGCGTCCTATCGCAGTTTTTGCCTGTGCCCCATTGGATGCGAACCCAGTCTCCCCCAGCCACTCAGCCGTAAACATCGCAATCTTTTGGAGTGCAACTTGGCTCCGCCATGCTCGTGCCTTCGCCCCCATTGCCGCTGCCAGACGCACGAGCATTGGCACCGGGAGGTGCCGAGCGTGCTTGCGAGCTTGTCTTGAAGTGGCCTTCACCCTTTATGTAGGGGGTACCTTATTTTGGGGTCCTTATAGCAAGGATCCTATTATTTAGGGTACCTTATTTTGGGGTCCTTATAATAAGGATCCTATTACTTAGGGTGCTATATTAGGGTCCCCTATAAAAGGATCCTATTATTTAGGGTGCTATATTAGGGTCCCCTATTTTCTTTAAGAGTGCCGGGAGTGTCCCGAGATGATCTCACGAAGGTCACCCCGGCGATGCACAGCGCTTGCAGCCCGCCTCAAAGTCAGGCGAGGAAGCAGGGGGCTGTTGCAGCAAACCCAGAGACTCCAAGATCCCTTAATTAAGGAATATTCCTTAAATCATATTAAGGATCCTACAACAAATTAAGGAATATTCCTTAATTAAGGGATATTGGAGTCTCTGGGAAGCGGGGGGCTGTTGCAGCAAAGCAAGCATGGCAAAGCTCAGAAGGAGCACGTCGCCCCGGATCTTCGTTTCATGTGCTCTTGGCTAAATGTATGAATCCCAAGGAATAGTACCCTAAACCCTAAACCCTAAACCCACGCCTCCGTTTCTGTTTACGATCCCGAAGTTGTGACCAGGCCAGCTGCTGGATGTCCGGCTCCGAGCATGCAGAATTTGGTTACCGTAGGTCCATGACTCACCAAACTAGCAGGAAAGAACCCTTCTTGAGGGTTTAGGGTTTAGGGTGTCCATGATTCACCAAACTAGCAGGAAAGAACCCGGAGACTCCAATATCCCTTAATTAAGGAATATTCCTTAAAATATAGTAGGATCCTTAATATGATTTAAGGAATATCCCCAATTAAGGAATATTGGAGTCTCTGGGAACTCTTCTTGAGGAGCGGCCCCCATTGCCTCCTCCGAGCCTCTTGGACGGCTTCCCGGACCCGCAGCGCGTGGATGCGAGGCTGGGTTGGGCTGCCAGGTACTCAAAGGATCATGGGACTTAG